ATCTATATATATAAAAGAAAGATGTGTTTTTGTTACACCACTTATAACTCAAGAACGGCTGAACCGATTTAGCTGAAAATTGGCAGGGAGGTAGTTTAAGGCCAGGAGAAGGATATAGGCTGAACCGATTTAGCTGAAAATTGGCAGGGAGGTAGTTTAAGGCCAGGAGAAGGACATAGGATACCTGTTTATCCCGTTCACGACAAAGTAGGTTTTGAAATTATCAAATTTTTGATAGAAAATATTTTATCGGAATTTTCGAATAGCAAAGAAAGAAATAAAGTACAAACACAAAAATTTATTTTTAATTTTATTGAAGTTCGGCTGACCATACAACGCTGTTTCGAGTATTGCCAAGTACTCTTCATCAGTGGTCTTTGGACTAATCGAATTTTTATTTAATTAGTTTATAGTCCGTATATAATTTGTTTAGACTGCAAATGCCAGGCTTAGAACTCGTGCCTGTCAAATTAGAAGCGATGACTAATCGTGTTATCCACAAGAAGTCAAGGCTGCACAAACTTTCAATGCTCAAGTTCCAGGTTTTATTGTCACTTATTTTTATTTAATTAGTGACAACAACCAAAGCACTTGCCGTGCTTTAAATTAGAACGAGCTTAAAAACTACAGCTTTATTTTGGAAACACAAGTTCAACGAATTGAAAGTTTAACTTTTTGGGTTTGCTAATTCTTTATTTCTTTTCAAAGCTACTCTTTTTGTAGAGACATTTTGTAATGCATATTTTTTACTTACTATATGTAAAGCGACCATTCTGGTGCTTTTACAAAGAAGCTATGCTATGTTATTCTAAAAATTCCTCTAAAATTTAATAAAGCTTCTTTGTCCCTATACAAGTAATCTAAGCTTAACAGCAATACTAATACTTTATTAAAATATTTTATTAAAATTTAACAGATAGAAATATAACTTAGTTAATGTGTTTTTAAAAGTTGTATTAGATCAATATAAGTTTGTGTTGCAATAAATATCGTTTTTAATCAATAAAACTACCTGGTTGTTGCAAACTCAACAAAATAAATAATTAACAATTATAATGTATGGTATGGTTGAAAATTTGAGTTTTTAGTTTTTTAATAATGCCGCGACCAAGACGATCGAATCTTTCCCGACAAAGCCGTAATGCAAGAAGAATACGAAATACTGCAAATTTAAGGACTGAAGGTCGAGCGAACAACAGAGGTCAACAAATAGATAATTTGCGATGTGTACTAAAATACACAAATAAATTATGAATGATTAATGTAGGTATTTTTTTTTTTTTGTATTTTTTCCAATTAAAAAAAAACTGCTTATTTATTGCCTTTAAGGCGGAACAGAGTTCGCCGGGTCATCTACTAGTATTAATATAAACGCATTTTTCGATTATCTATCCCAATTGTAGGTAACTTATGTTTGAAATCATAAGCTAATTTTATACCCGAAATAAAAATGCCATATAATTCATATATTTAAAAAATGTCCCTCCCTAGTCGCGTTATCTGAGAAAGCGGCCCTATGCTCCACGAGGAGAGAAAGACAGCAGGAAGCAAGTAAGAGAGGTTTCATAGTTGCCTAAGACAACTTTCTATTGGGAACAGTAATTTCACAGCAATTATGTTACAACAGGATTCAGATTTTTATAACTGAGGAAAATAAGATAAAGGTTTGCAGGTACAGCTCTTACCCAATTTAGAACTGTGTGTAATATACTTCTGATGGACTTGGTTCTACAGACCAGTTAACTGCAAAAAAAAATATTATTCATCTGTTCTGTTCTATAATTTCTGTTCTGAAATAAGTTGGATTTAATTTCCCTAACCAAAATTTACTAACATAATATGTCACATTAGTCTATTCTTAGTTAGGTTATACTTAACTCAACTTGTTGCGAAACAAGTTGGTCTGTGAAATTTTACCATGGAGTTCTATTTCCCATAGTTTGCCTTTGTTCATTTTAATTCACAAATACTTTATTATAACATTTCTCAATTAGTTAGGGTTAAAAGCCAAGAGCTGAACATGCCCTAATTAACTTCATGTTCCACTTGTAATTAATTAAAAAAATACATATATTCAATACAGCATTGAAGTTAATTACTTCATTTTTATCAAAGTTAACAAAGACTGTATATTTAAATTAATAAAATTTTTAAGAATTCAAAACTTATAAAAAAAAATTTTACTTTTAAGTGATAAAATATCAAAATAATGGCGTTACTAGACTATGCTAGCGGCTGTGTAGTTGCCATGTACGGCAAGGATTGCGTAGCCATAGCTACGGATCATCATTTGGGTACATCTGACCATGTGATGCCGGTACATTTTGAAAAAATATTTCGCGTTGATCAAAAACTATTTATGGGATTGATTGGACTGCAAGCAGATATTTTGAGAGTTCGTAATACTGTTCTTAATCGTAAGAAGTCTTTTGAATGCGATCAAATACGAAAAATGACAGTTGAAGGTTTTGCCAATCTTACATCAAATTTCTTATATGAATATCGTTTTGAACCCTTTTATGTTGAGACTATCATAGCCGGACTTAATTCAATCACAGGTGAACCTCTTATATGTGGTATGGATTTACTTGGTTGTCTAAGCTATCCACCGGATTACATTATATGTGGAAGTCCCAACTGTCAGGCATATTCATTATCTGAAATGTTGTGGAAACCAAATCTTGAACCAGACCAATTATTTGAGGTTATCTCGCAAACAATATTGAACAGCTTACTGCGTGATACTAATAGTAGCAACGATGCTACTGTACATGTGTTGGAGAAACATCAACTCACTACCAAGGTTATTACGAAAGGTTCTGATTAGTATATTTATAATAACTTATTAATTCCAATGAAAACTTTCTTCAGATATTTGAAATATATAATATAAATATATAATCTAGAATTTTAATAGTAAATATGTATATCAAACTATACTTGGATTGACACCTCTGCACATACACATTCAATCTACGGCTGCGCTTAGTGCGCTTCGACTAAAACTCCACATGAACAAGAGTTGTCTTGACTATGGTCATACAACAATATTAAAAATATTTGGAGCACATAAAATTCCTCAATGCGATGGAGACTATACAACAGAACTCCATCGTTTTGGCAAAAAATTTTAAGAGCCAGGCTGCTCTTAAAGCTCTTTCTTCTTGGACTTTCAAATCAAAACAGGTCCTTGAGTGTTATGATCTTCTGCAATCACTTACAGCTCGGAATAAGGTAAACCTTTACTGGGTTCCGGGCCACAGAGGAGTTTTGGGAAATGAAGAAGCTGATGAGCTTGCCAGAACTGCATCAAAAACTGCTTTTATAGGCCCTCAACCCTTTTGTGGAATAAACTGGGCTAGTACAAAACAGATTATCAAGGAAATGGAAAATCATATGCGGCTAGAGTACTGGGTAAACTTTCCAGGACTCAGACAAAGCAAAGCACTGATATCACCTTACTCCTACAAAAACATTCTTAAATTCTCAAAATGTAATTTAAGGATGATAACGGGTTTCATTACAGGTCATTATGGTCTGAAATATCACCTTCATAAACTACAATTATCTGCTAACTCGGAATGCAGATTATGCCTCGAAGATGAGGAAACAACCAAGCACATTCTTTGTGACTGTCCAGCTTTAACAACGCACAGAAGAAACCTGTTTCATAAGGAATTTCTGTCACCAGAACAGATTAAGAACTCTTCTCTAGATTTAGTTCTAGACTTTATTCACAAAGCTTTAAGGGGCTTTGTTTAATCAATAGTGAAACTGGTACAATAGGTCTCTTCTGGCCGCAGTACCGGCTGTTGGGCAATTTTCACGAATACCTTTTATTATTATTATTATATCAAACTTAAAGTAGACCATTTATGGGTACGTAAAGAGAAAATAACTGTTCTACTAGTGATTTAGTTTTTATTAAGTAATATGGGTTACTGTAGTACGTGCATTTCTAATTCAAGAGCTACTTTCATTACATTAAGAAATTTTGTTTGAGAATTTCGTCAAGATTCATATCATATCAAGAAGATTCAATTTTAGATAATTATTTGTGGTCTTACAGAATCTTATTACCGGTTTTCCACAGTAGGTGAAAGCTTGGTAAACTTTCCTCTTAGAAATTCCTCCTCTCATTAGTCAAAAATCGTATCTCATAGTTATATAGAGATAGATTGATTGATATGTGAGCATCTAAAAAATAACTAATATTGTGCATGACTGCAATAATGAGTGATAGTCATCTACAAGTGTTTATATTGGTAGTCACAGTCACAATGTCCTAATATCCAGGCGAAAAACACGATGTATAAAGGTATATAGAAATGCGAGGCGTTGAATAATCTTGTATCAGTTTTTATTATATATCTTTTTAATAATACGTTCATAACATTTTTAGCGCATCCACAGCCATTTAAAATAATTGCAGAATCTGGTATTATGTATGTCACCCTTTATGTCTGAGTAAATTTGAAACCCAAACTTGTTTTCTTTCATTTGGAGTGTGTGATTTTAATATTGATGTAAGTAGAGTTATATTTGCACTCTTTTCGGTATACAGTATCTGAATATTTTTGATATATGATAGTCGTTCCTTTATGGGATATTTTGTACTTTATTAAGTAAAATATCTTGAGTATGAATTCTATGCAGTGCATTCTGACTGTTTGGACTTTGCCAGCCGAGACCAAAATTGATTAGTGATATTATTTTTTCCTTCTATATACCTACAATATAACCCCTAAATAAATATATAAAAATATCTCTTTTATACTTATTACCTTGAATTCCTTAACGTATATGTAGTAATAACTTATTATTACCTTTAGCAAAAATTTTATAAATTTTATTTGCTCATAAATTGTATTTGCTTATAAATTTTATTAAAATTTTTATTCGTTTTGTTATGCAAATTCAAATATCATACGATAGTCATTTTTTCTTATATAGAAAACAAAAAAAAAACAGTATAAAAATTTATTTGAATGCATTTTGCTAATTTTAAAATTGCATACGAGTATAACAAACAAACAGATAGATTTATTAAAAAAACTTTCTGAACTTGTACTTTTATAAATTGCATTAAATTACAGTGTAAATGTGGAAATAACAAATTAATGATAAAAAAATTTAACTATGAATAACTGAAAATATTTCACAATTCACTGATTTTTATAATTGTTTTATTATTATTAACATGCGAAATTTTATAATTATTTTTTTTTTTTGAAACTGTCAAGTTCAGTATATGCAAAAATATTTTTTTGGTAACAAAAAAAAATTTATTCAAAATTAAATTTATCAAGCGTAGAATATTAATTTGGTTTTCTTATCATTTTTTTTTTCATTTCTTAAAAAATTTTTGAACTGATCGTAGACCACAACTCCACATAAAATTAAGTTTAACAATTATAAAATGGATTTTTGGTCAAAAAAAAAATAATTAAATTTTTATTTTATAATTAAATTAACCTACTGTGATCTTCACAGAGTACTTTTCAAAAAAAAAAGTGATCTTTTCGAGTAAGTTTTAAAGAAATATTTCCAACTAAAATAAAATAAAAAATTTATTTGTGCCACTGTTTTATGAAATAAAAATAATTAAATCAATTGAAAATTAGCTTTCAGTATTTTTAAAATAATCACCAGATTCAAAACTTCTAAAGATTTTTGTTTTATGTACATTCAAAGCAAATAACAAAAATATTTAGATTTATTTTAAATTTGGCAAATATTAAAATACATCTAAAAAAATTAAAAAAACTCAAATTCAGTACTTATCCAGTACATTAAAGAGTTTCAATTTTAAACATAGTACTATGTTGGTTCAAATACGTGGAGTGGTAGCTTAATTATCAAACGAAAAAACATATATGCACAATGCAAAAAGAACTAATAATACCACTCAAACGATAACATTTTATAATAAAATTATTTTTATAATTACATTGTGGACGCTAAAAACAGAGTACTAGTTTACTAACCGCTTGGAACCTCAGAATTTCGCATGCGAACAGACATACGAAACTTTATTCGAAGTTGTTCGCAATATATAAAGGAATCAACAGGGTACCAGCTACCAACGGAGCGGACCACAACGAACATGGTTGATATTTTGTGCTGCAAGAAATCCTGAGCAGAAGACATTCCGCCTTCCAAATGAAAGCCAGAATGTCATCAGTTGAGGACCTCCTAATGTCAGAAGGAGAAAGTAGTTCTCGACCTCCTCTTGGCCCAAATCAAGGCTGGGCAGTCAGAGAGAATATGACTGGAAGTCTCGTCTGCAGAGGTGACAATCTATCACTTCAGACAGACCCATTTTGTTAAGGTGATAACGCAGTCCAACTCTGTTCTACTGCAGAAGGATACCTTACCCCATAAGTGTAGCGATAACAGTTGATAAAATAATTCAAAATAAATTTTGATTAATAGGGTAAAATTATATTATTATCATAGATATTATATGTTAAAAAACATAATACAATGTTTACATATCTATAACAACCAAATATCACTCAACATTCCGGTAAAATGTAACTCTTCTCAATAATAGTATTATAACAACATGAATTATACTTACACTGGTTATAACATCAAAGGTTATACTAACAACAGAACATCAAGGCATCAGATTCTACAAATGAACTGGTTGCTATATTCTTGATCAATCGTTCGCCATCAGAAATGTTTTAAGTAAAGAAAACAGTAACAACAAAAGTTTATACTCAATGGTTTCAGATACAAATTCTCAGATTAAGTAGTTTTTGGATCCTCAATCCATATTTCACACTCAGGGAGATTATAACGATAATCGCTACTGTAGTTAGAACATACCAACATCTTTAATTATCCCAACATCTTTCTTAGAAAAGAAAATCATTCTTAAAAAAGAGACGTTTACCAGTTATAAACATCTATAAACTTCAAAAATGTTTATTTTTTAAAAAAAATTTGTAATATAAAGAAGCATTTAATAAAAATTTCAGAGTACTTAGAGAGGGGGCCTATGTCTAAAATCCAGCTATTGAAAGGAAAACATATTTTTAGAAAACTTTTTGAGAATTTTCCTAACTCAGATGGAAAAACAATTGTTCTATTAAAATACAATAAATGTTAAGCACACAAGCGTGCAAAAATTTTTATTACCAACTTCTAGACAAAAAATGAAATAAAATTGAAAGTTATTTCACTGCACACAGAAATTTAATTGTTCTTTTGTGCAAAACTAAATAAAAAGTTTAGAGTAGAAAATGGATAAATGCATTCAATAAAATGGAAATTAAAATTTAAACACAAAAATGGAAAACAAATGCCAACACGTATTTTGCATATTTCAATGCAAAACACAAACAAAAGTGAAAGTATACAGAATTTCGGTTAATGCCTTAAATGCCGCAGATATGCTAACAGTGGATACATGTGAAAAACAAATAAGAATCATACACATACATCTCTCATAAACATTAATACTTAAGAATTGTATTGTTTGAAGCTTTGGTACTCTATGTAATACACGTTTGTAGATACATTCACTACCGTTGCTCCACAAAAATCTGGGGCATAACAAAAACACTGTTGTGGCAATGCACAACAGTGCCTGTACTCTGCCTCTCTACTCGAAGCGTCTCTCTGTATCTGTAGATACAACTGTACCAGCAATACAATGCTGGTATGGTATGTATGAATGAAACGTGATGCTGTAGATACTTTTTCAACAATGACGTAAGCCAAAAATTTCAATTCAATAAAAACGAAGCAGCATAGCAAAATATATTGAGCCTTTAATGGGGGGAAAAAACAAAATGTGAAATGCGACAAATTTATAAATCCAGTAAACGTAAACGTAAAACTGAAAAAGTCTACATTTTTCGGAAGCTGATGTCAGCTACTGGCGCCAATGATGTGCCCGTAGGAATAATCATCAATGTGAAAAACAATAGAAAAATAATAACAGTAAATTCTGGAAAAATGGTGGCA